ATGAAGAATGGTAGCCAAGGCCCAAGTTTGACCGATGAGTTCTTTGGGAAGTGCTTGCCGAAGAAGTTCTCAGCCTTCTTGGGAATTGGGTGAGTGTCCTAGGTCTGAGCAGGGTCTAAGCTTGGGGAACCAGGGAAGAGATATAAACCTGGCATGAGAGAAACCCCTCCTCCAAGCTAAACTCTGCATGTAATCCTTGCTTGTGTTTCCTAGCTTATAAATAGTCTGTTCTTGTAACATAATTATCTCTCCCACAAAGAGAGAACTTTGCAGTTAGCAAAGCAATTTCACATCCATTATCTGCTTTGACTTTCACAATGAGGTAGAGAGATAGGCAAGACAGGGGTTATTTACCCAAGAAGCCAAAACTGGAATCCTCAAAGGATTTCAGTAGAGAAAATCTCTAAGGTTACCATTAGCACCCTAGTCCATACTCTGCCTTGGATCATCTGTGCTAATCTTCACAGAGACGGTTAAACAGAAGGAAAGCTAATTCTGGGGAGAAGGGATAGAATCATTCTTCCATCCCCCTTTCAATCCTCACAATATTCCTGGTACTTTACTAGGTTCTGAGGATACAACAGGGAGCAAGATGGCAAGATCCTATGGATCCTAATGGACAAATAACCCCAGAATGAAATCAATATAACTTTCTCCCATCACCATGGGAATGCCATCCATGTGAATGTAGTTAGAGTCTATATGGGCACGCTATGCCTCCCAAATGAGGAGACTTACTTGGCTTGAAGACTCGAAGAATGACTGAGCAAGGCAAGCTTCTAAATAAAATTTTACTAGTTAATGTCAGATAAAAATCATTGCCCTTTAAGAGAGTCTAAAAGAATGTAAGAATTACAAATTGCTTAAGATTATTTGCTTCCTTGGCTGTGAGCTAATTGAGGCATCAACTCTCATTCTCACATTGGATGCTCAGTACATGGTTTTTATTAATCTAAGCTCAGAACCTAATAAATCAAGTTCCAATATCTGCAAACCTGGACTTCTGATGAGTTTCCTGTAACTTCGTAAGAAAATCTGGAATTTATAGCATTCTTCTCTGGGTTCAGAGTGAATTGTTAGCTAAACCCTTGCTCTCCTCCTTCAGGAAAGTTTTAAAGTTTCCTTCAATGAAGGTCTCACATCTTCCTTTTACATTTTGAAGTTCCTTGATTGTTTCCTAATTTCCATTTTAGTTGGTTACTTCTGGTATGCAGTCTAGTATCTAACAATGTCTGAGCTTCCTTGTGAAATATCTCAGTTTCCACAGTTTACAGAGGATTTTCCTGGCAGATGACCACATATTTTTTTAAAGTGGTAAATTTACTCCTTTCCCCCAATTTTTATACCTCGTTTTTCTTCTTTTCTGTCATTTGGATTTTGCACCTTCAATATTGAACAATAGTACAGGGGACAAGGCATCCTTGTCTTATTCCCGACTTGATTAAAAACACAACCAATGTTTCCTCCTTAGGTTATCACCTCCCTTCTCTGCATCATGCTTGATGTGCGTTTCCTAGAGTGGGAAAAGTGACTTCTGTGTGACAAGAGAGAGATTGGTGGACGAGGAAAACAGCTGTAGGACCAAGTCAAGCATGTGACAAAATAGAGAGAACCTGGCTCCACATTCACTAAGGATGAGGACACACACAAGATGCACCTTTTAGAATCCATTGCCTGGATGCTGGCATTGTGCCTCCTTCTAATATATGTGTGCACACAAATTAACACTTCCCCAAGAAACATTTCCATAACAATAATTCATGTTTAGAAACCTTTTAAAAGGCTACGTAACCTATATATTTAGACAAACTAATCAGCCAACCAAATTGTATCTTCACTTCTATTTTTTTTAAAAACATTTTATTGATTTTTAGAGAAAGAGGAATGGAGAGGCAGAGTGAGAAATATCAATATAAGAATAAAACATCCATCAGCTGCCTCCTACATGCTCCCTACTGAGGATTGTGGCCCACAACCTGGCATGTGCCCCACCCAGGAACTATACAGGCAACTTCCAGTGCACAGGACAACACCCACCCAACTGAGCCACACCCGATAGGGCTTTTCACTTCTATGATGATATGGGCTGGATAGCACAAAGACGACATATATCCAATAGAAAACAACCAAGCATAACTGCCTACTACTGTGTACATTAGTACAATCTGAGTGATCAAAGTCCTCTAAGAATATCTGGCAAAAGCGTATTTTAATTCCTTGGCTATGCATCTGCTTGTTTAATAGTAAAATGTTAATGTAAGTCCAAGGGCCAGAGGATAGCACCAAGTATGGGAGACCTATCATTCTAAACCACTAAGGCCAGACTGGCCTGTTTTCAATTCAACCTAAAAAAGTCAAATCGCATTCTCTCAAAAAAAGAAAAATGGTCCCACAATGTCATGATCTGGCTCTCTCTCACCATTCTCAGGGTTTGGAAAGAAAGAGACATCAGGACTAATCACTGTACACTCAACTCCAGGTTGTCATGACCCAGCTCTCCCCAATGTGATTCCTGGGTTGCAGACTAAATCCTCTATAATTTTTTAGAGTCTCGGGAAAAATAAAACAGTAATAACACCCACAGATAATCCTCAATTTTGAGTGTTTTAATCTTTCATTAGTCTGAAGACAGTCATGAAGATATTTCATCAGCAAAAATGTATTGATCATTTTGTCATCTACTGTTTCATAGTTATTTGGCACACAAATAGAGCCAGGGTTTCTACCCTTAGATACATTTGATGTTATAGATGTTAAATAAGGAATTCTATAGTCTAAAGCAGTACAAGTGCCAAGAAAAATAAAGGCAAGGGAATAGAAAGGTAAAAGCTGATATACTTTTGAAAGTTTAGGTTTGAATTCATCTGAATTTGTTGATGTCCCCACTTGTGGGGATTTTTAAGAAAAATGTAAATTTTTCTTAAGTTGTGTTAATACAATGCGCTGGAGAATTAATTGTATGAAGTGTTAATTTAGTCAGTAAGAGTTCAAGTTCCTATATACATCGGGCAACAGATTGGTATGTAGCAGCGAATTAAATAGGCAGGAATTCCTATTTTTGCAAGGTTTACATTCTAGAAAATTCAGGTTTCAAATAGTCTTCTTCTCTTGGTATAGACTGCCCCCACTCTTACAAGATTCCCACCCCCACAGAAAAGTATCTCGGACTCACCTCCTGCACTCTTCATGACCATGAAGAAATGCAAGGACTAAGATGGGAATAGTGTGTCCATAAGCCACCTCTAAACTGCTGTCTCTGCTTTAGAGTCATTTGGCAGATTTCCAGAGGCAGCAGGGATAAAACCACACATATTAAAAACCTTTAAGTAGGGTTTTTTGGGCTGCCCTAGAAACCCCCAAACTCTTTCTATGACTGTTTCTATGGGAAAGGCCACCCAAGTTCTAAACAACTGGCTTAGTACACGCACTGCTGAAGCACACTCTGTAAGCTGTCGACAGCCTGTGCTCAGCAACCAACTGCTAGCTCAAACAGCTAAAAATGAGCTGGCACCCATACTGGAGTTCCTGTACACACATTTTGCTTTATAGTTGGAGCCTTTCCATGATACTCGCTAAGGCATAACTATTATGGATGTCAGCCTCAAGGAGCAGCCTTGGAGGCCCTTCCACCAGCTGGAATCGGACACCATAACTAGGCTTTAGCTACACGTCTGCTCACACTGGTGGCAAAAAACTGAATGCAGGTTTCTGAGCAGCCCCGGAGGCAAGGTGTTTATATTTCATCACAATCCCTGTTTGCACTTCATTTCTTCCACGTGCCAGAACAGCTGATTATCATCACCATCGGAAACAGTAAATGCTTCTCTCAAAGAAGGGACTGCTCTTTAGAAATTCCTGCGCATCTCGGGGCACAGAAAGAAAATGTCCTTGACAGTTCATCGTGGCTACGGGATGAACACACTGACCACATACATGTCTTTTCATGGCTGAGAACAACTCCAGGCCAGGGTGCCCAGAAAATGCTCAGGGTTTGGAAAGAGGCATCAGGAAAAACCACAACTCCAAAGTCCCTCTCACCGCCATCAACCAAGGTGATCTTGGGTAAGACACATCCATGTTCCAGTTCCTTCTTGGTCTTGTTCTCTCACTGGGACAGCTTCCTTGGTCTCACTCCAAGTCTCAAGTTCTTATAAAATGCTGTTCTATGAAGCCTTAAGCCAAATTCCCTTAAGCCAAATCAGCTCCTTACTTAGTCATATCCCCACTCCAGCAGTCCATATCTGTTATAACATTTATCACGTGGTATTATTGTTGCTTGTTAATTATTTATTTATATTAGTTTATCATGCTATTTTATGGTCCTCTCAGGGTATCAGGCAATATGTTATCACTTCTACTTCTAATATTAATAATATCATTGGTAGAATTATGTGTGTTTACTATTTGTGAGACTATGTGAATACAATTTCCAATTGTTACAAGAGTCCTATGAGATGGACATTATCATTCTTCCCACATTTTTCTACACTTGAGGATAGTAAAACCAAGAGAGATTATATAAACGGTTAGTCATGCCACCAAGAGTAAAAATAAAGTCTATTTTTCCTTAAAATGTATGCTTTTTACCACTACCCTAAAATACTACCTATCAATAATAGTAGGTGGTATTTACTAAGTGCTAGTAGACGTCAGGCTCTGTATCAGGTGCTCTACACACATTAGCTAACATGATCCTCACAAATACCCTGTAATGTAGATATCATTAATTATAATCTCAACTTTACAAAAACGAAATTAAGGTTCAGAACTGTTAAATGACTTGCCCAAGGTCACAGAACTATGAAGACTGGATCTGAATGGAGGTCAATCTCCTCTTACCCAACACTCTATTCCATGACCAGATGGTAGATTTTCTTTCGTCTTTGCAAACACTGCACAGATTTTCAAGCATAACCTGTCAGGAGACAGAAAACTGGAAAGTGACCCAGTTTTCTGACTCACACAGATAAACCAAACCTACCAAGCCCCTAGGCACTCACCTTAGCACATGTGTGGACCCATTAATGGTTGTGGTTGAGCAGGGGACAGTCTGGCCCAGAATGGAAGGTCTTCGGTAGCGCTCATCATCACAGCAGAGGATGATAAGAAAGGCACGGCGAAAAGACTTATTCAAGAACGCGTAGAGAAAGGGGTTCAATCCAGAATTGATATAGCCAAGCCAGAGGAAAGCTGTCCACACCTGCCCGGGGACCGTGTAGTCTACAAACGGATCCACAATGTTGGTGACAAAGAACGGAGCCCAGCAGAGGCAGAAGCAGCCCATGATGATGCACAGGGTCTTGGCTGCTTTGGTCTCTGTCCGCATGCGATGAGTGCTATGCTGGTCTGTCGGCTGGGGCCTGCCCTCCGAGGGGGCTCCTGCCCGTTGTAACATCTGGATCTGCTGGGCGTGCTCCTTGGCCGTGACATAGATGCGGTAATAGGCCAGCACCATGAGGAGAAGCGGGATGTAGAAGGCTACCACGGAGCACGTAATGGCGTAGGGCTTGTTGACCATGAAGATACAGTACGTGGAGTTAGAGTTCTGAGGGAACTTCCTTTTTTCTATCTGAGAGGTGGAGGAAGAGAGGGAGAGAGAAGGGGAAGAAAAAAGTGAAGAGGAAAAAGTAGGAGGGGAATGAGAAAAATTGTAAGAAAAGAAAAAGGAGGAAAAAGAACAGAAAAGGGGAAATTGAAGGGGAGGAAAACAGGGAAGGAAAAAGGGAAGAATAAACAAATTAAGAAAAAAAGGAAAGAAAAGATTTATCAGCATAGCTTTCTCCTTTTTTAAAATAAACCTAATGCACCTAGAACCTTGATGGTGGAAATAGAATACGACCAGATCCCAGGGCTCAGAGGGCTTATCTATCCAACAGGGGCTGAAAGCCCAGTAAATAGAAATAAAATAGGGACAAAATCACTCTTCATTCTATCTACCCAGACAATAGTGGGGCCCTGCCTGTCCTCCCATCCAGCATGCTTTCACACAGTAGATTTATTAGTAAAAGTCTTCAAACTGTGACTCATTTTCTTCAAGACTGTGCTGGCTATTCTTATAATCTCAACATTTCCCATATAAAATTGATCATTAGCTTATCAATTTCTATAAAAATCTTTAAGGATTTCAATAGGAGTTAAAATAGAATGATTGAGGAAAACAGATATCTCTGCAATGTTAAGTCTTCCCATTCACAAGCATGATAATCGTTGCCATTTATGGAAATCTTTAAAATTTTATTTTAGTATTATTTAATATGTTTTGTATAAATGTCTTATGCATCTTTTGTTAGGTTTGTTCCTGAGTGTTTGACTTTTTATTTTAGTGCAAATGGTTCCATGTTAAAATTATAAATCCTAATTGTTTGTTGCCAGGAGGTAGAATTCAATGTTGTTTTTATTGTATAGTGGCTACTATGTATCTAACAACTTTGTTAAATTAATTACTAATATCTCATCTCTAGATTCTTTTGAATTTTCTCCATGCACACTCATGTGATCTGTAACTAATGACAGTTTCCTTTCTTTCTTCCTATTTTTAATAACATATTTTCTTGCATTATCGAACTTGACACGTCCTCCAGTATAATTCTGAATAAAAGTGGTATGAGTGGACACCACTGTTACATTCCTAGTTTTAGGAAGGGAGCTTTCAATATTTTATTACTAAGTGTGATACCTGTAAGTTTTTTGTCAATGCTTTTTATTTGAGAAAGTTGAATTTTATGAATTTGAACAAGTCATAAATGGATATTGAATTTTGTCAGTGCATTTTTTGCAACAATGAGGGTTTTCCCTAATCTAGTGAATTACATTGATTGCATTGCATTCCTCACTTGCATTGGATGCTGTGGTACACTAGATCCCTTTTGAAGGATTGAAGGTCTTTTCTCCCAATTATAAATTTTGCATGCTGAGCTCTTAATTATCAGCCTTCTCTTGAGCTCTTAATTATCAGCCTTCTCTGGGAATAGCCCTTGGCTAAAAAGAGCTGTGTGACAAATTGCCACTTCTGTTCCTGAGGCGAGCCTGCATACAGTGTGAATATTACACATAAATGAAGATGTGAATAAAAAATATATTCAACACACATATGTTATAACTTGTGTAATGAAGTACACAAGTAATTTAGTGTCTTGTCCTATACTCTATTATAGGGTTATAGTATATCTTTCTATTGAATTAACATTTTATCATTATGAAACTTCTCATTTTATCTCTAGTAATTTAAGTTTATTTTAAATTAAATTGCCTTAAATTTATTTTATCAGTGATAATAGTATAGCTATACCAACTTTCTTTTGGTTAGTGTTTGTATATGACATTTTTCCATTATTTTATTTTCAATTTTTTTGTCATCTTATATTTCATGGGTCTCTCTTACACACAGCGTATATTATGTATTGATTGGTTGGTGAAAATATTGTGACCAGAAACTTTGAGAAAACCAATCTTGTATTTCTCCTAGGAGCAAAGATTTAGTATTTGCTAATTCAGTGTTTATAGCAACTAATTACTGCAAATAACAAGAACCAACTATATATGTATTGTGAACACGTGGGTTCTACTAGCTTCTCTCTGGGCAGATTCAATGTGCAAATGAGTGGAAAGTTATAAAATGCAGTCACAACAGCATGGCGCAAATATAATACTAGGCATGTTGACGCTAAGGAGATGCCACACCCTTCAGTTCCACAAAGTAAATAGGGCATGCTTCACTCATAAATGGGCAAAATCCGCTAGGTTATTTTCCTTAAATAGTCTATATACGAAGGTAAAAGTGCTGTGCCCTTATTAAAATTTCTGATGCACAAAAGCTTATGCTTCCACAGGTTTTCTCCATTAAGGAGTAAGTTTAGTACAGACAGGAAGAGCACATACACGAGATCCCAGTAAGCTTGGGCTTAGATATAGTGTCTACCTCTTCTGACCAATGTAACTTTAGCTAATAACGTCACCTCTCCCATCCTTATTTCCTGAGGATAACAACAGGATCTACATAGCCTTGTTGTGGGGCCTGAGTGAGGTTCTGAAGAAGAGTGACTCTATTAACACGGGGCTAGGTGCACAAGAAGTGTTCATTTGTTGGCCATTATTATATTGGTTTTTGGAAATTTGAGTTTCATTTCTCCCCAAGAATGATAAAACTGAAAGTTTGAAAGAACAGGGATAGAATTCAAGAAAATATCCATACAGTCTCCCTTGTATGGGTCCCCTTTTACTTCTCCACTCCTCTGTCCCCAGCATTGCTCTCAGAAGCCCTGGGAACTCTTGTTCTGACATACCACATGCAAATCCTCGCCCAGCCTTGGTTTGGGTATTCCTTCCTGGACAAAGAACAAGGCAAGATTAGGGGCTAGAAATGGGGTGAAGAGACGAAGAGGCAGCTCCTGCTCTAACTGGTTCTGTTGGCCACAGCTTGCTCTCAATCTGTCCTCTCCCTTCCCCTTCCTACCATGAGATGGTCCTGGGATCAACTTTACAGTGACAACCTGACTCCTTCCTTAGGGAATTTATAGCCCTGGTAATGAATCCAGACCACAGCTTTTAGTCACAAATTTGGTATTGCAAAAATAGTATGTCAGAGCTGGACGACTCTTAAAAACCACCTATTCTGGGGATGGTAAATGCCTGACACAGTGCCATCATGTTATTCCTCTAAACCCTGGAAGACACTGTTTTCCACTGGGGACCAATGGATCACACAGCCTGGCAGAAAGTGGGTCAGTGAGAGCACTGGGCTTGGGGCTCAGCTCTCAACTCCTGTCCATGGCTCTCTTTGCTCTCCAAAAGCTTCCCCTCACATGACACGTTTTCTGTGGATCACTGAAAGTCTCAAACACTGCTAACATAGGATGAAGACCTCTTAGGCACTGGAATCAGAATGCTAATTTCACACACCTGTTCTGCTATTTTAGTAGACATATTAGTGGGCCTGTTACCTCACCCCTCTGAGTCTGAATTTTCTCATCTAAATAAGAAAAACAAAGAATGCTAGCAGGATTATAGGTAAAGTATTTCACATACTTTCTGCTATACAGCAAGCATTCAAAAATGCTAGCTTGGTTTTTCTGTTGTTATTCTTGTCATGGCACAGACCACTGTCAGAATCTTTCTCGGAATATCCACCCAACTTGATACTATTGGTTTATGTAGCAGCCCAAGCAAACAAAGTGAATCGGCCAATGGGATCTGTGTGGGGTTTACTCACCAAATCAATTATGCCAATGTTGTTCCAGCCTTGCATTATAGGAAGAAAAGAGATAAACATGGGGATGACCCAGCAGCCTCCCAGCATTAGCGCGATGCGCAGAGGGGTCATCTTGTTCCTATAGACCAAAGGCTGGCAGCAGATGGCATAATACCTGGAGAGAGAATGAGGAGGGGATGCCAAGGGAGAAGAAGAATGAGAGAAAAAAAGAGGGGGAATAGTTGATAGGAGAGAGGCGGGGGAGGAGGAATGGGGAGAAGAAGGGAGACACGAAAAGGAAATATTAGGAATGAGAAAAATTGGAGGGGGAAGTTGAAAATAAAAATAAGGAAGAAAGAAGAGAAAAAATAATGGGGGGGGGGGCAGGGGAGAGTGGGTAACAGAGGAAGGGAAGGAGAAAGGGGAGAAACAAGAGAAAATAACAGAGGAAAGAAAACAGCAATTATACAATAAAATATATTATATTGACCAATGAGTTTCTGCTAATTTAATATCAACTTTTGATCACATCTGAGAATCATTTCCTAGAGCCAGCTCCCTATCCCTCTTCCACTCTTAATGCCTGAGAAGCTGGGCACACAGCTAAGGGTCTGCTCTGTCTCAGGCACAGTTCCAATAATACTTTCAGGCCTGGGCGTTTGAGGAACTTTATTCCAGCCCTCTGGGTCCCAATGTCCTGGCATCTGTGGTCCTCTTTGATAACAACTTGAGGCGATTCATGCATGGCCTGACATCTGAGCTCTAAGAACTGTCTCAGACCTGTCACTAGTCTCTTGATCACCTGCCTATACTCAAGTGATGCTAAGTCAATGATCCTTACATTGTGGTCCAGGGATTCCACCCTTTCCCCTGCCAATGTTGTTCCAGCCAATATTGTTCCTCCTCACCTGAGGCGGCCTATTTAAAATGCAGATATCAAGGATCTGCTGAGGAAGGACATGTAGTTGGCATTTTGACAAGAGGAAGTCATGACTGCTGTTCGCTAAGTATGCCCAGTCCCTCTTTCTGGGCACATGTGCTTCCTGGCCTCCTTGTGGTTGGGCCAAGTGACTGGTCTGGTCAATGAGTTGTGAACAGAGTTGACATGTGTTACTTCTGGGCTGGACTATTTCATTGTTTCTCTAAGAATGCAAAACTTCAAATGTTTCCTGTTTCATCATTTCCTGCCTATTGATACAGACCACCTCACCCCTTTATCAGGTCTTCTCTTCCTCACAGGGCTCACTGCTCATCTTCCTTTGAGTCTGTGTTCTGCCTATGATAATATCTTAGAGATGCAACCTGCCCTCAATGATCAAGTCTCTAACTCCAAGAGACTGTTTCTTGCATGCCATTCCAACCTCACCACTTTCATATCCAGGCAGTTCATGGAATTTGACAACATGCAAAATACCACAGTAGATCTATCAGCTATTTGTCTTGGCAAGAATCTAAAGAATAAGTGTAAAAAAGACAGCCTGAAGGCTAAGTCTATTCTTTAAGATTTTATACCATTAAATGATGAGTCACTCCCTAATCTCGCTCATTTCATGTAGTTCACTGTTAATTTTCCCCACCTCTTCTGTTCTTAATTCAAAGCATAACTACTATAACAATGGCAATATTTTTGAAGAAGTGGTGGTGAAATAAATTGGAGAGGGTGGAATGAGAAGGAGAGGCCAATGTTAAAACATGAATAGTGGGTACTTTGGGAGATGGGGGGCAAGGATTATACTTTTCCTTCTAAGGCATCAGGGAGCAGCTGGCCACACTGTGCTTTCTGTGGCCAGAGAGACTGGGTGTCCTGACTTGCAATAGAGTGCAAGGAACAAGAGCCCAAAAAATGGAAGAGGGAATTAGTCAGGAACTCATTTTTTTTCTTTTCTAACAAATGTGTGTTGTTTTTTTAGTTTTTTGTTTGTTTGTTTGTTTGTTTTATTGATTATAGAGAAGAAAGGAGAGGGACATAAAGATAGAAACATCAATGATGAGAGAAAAATCATTGATCGGCTGTCTTCTGCATGTCGCACATTGGGATCAAGCCCACAACCTGGGCATGTGCCCTGACCGAGATTCAAACCATGACCTCCTGGTTCATAGGTTAATGCTTAACCACTGAGCCATGCCAGCTGGGGGAGAAACTCATTTTTTTTCTGTGTGTGAAACTGACATGGTAGCCAACTCTAACTAAATATAACTTGGTAATAGAAGAATGATGATTATCTGGAATTCCCTCCATGCTTTTTTATAAAAAAAAGCAAGTTATATCAGAGTGGCAATTTTATTTTCTGAATGGCTATACCAATAATCACTAGAGGCTTATTATTAACATAGAGATGGCAAATTAGGTGTGTATGAGAATATATTTTTTTCCCATATTTCGCTCCCTCTCTCATTCCTTGCTGGAGGACCTAGATTAGACATTTTGTTGTGTCCATTTAGCATCCTTCTTTTTTTTTTCTTTTTCTTTTTTTCTTGGCAATAGCATCCCATGTCTTTGGGGAATTATCTCGTCTGTTGATGTGGTGTTGGGAAAGCTAATTATCGGATTCTGACATTTCCAACCAAGCAGTCACCCAATCAGTGTCTCCTGAGATTCTAGACATAATGCAGAGCGATGCAAAGATGATATAGTCACGGACGCTACCCTATTACCACAGCAAGCTCCTGGCGTGGCTGAGAGGAGCTCCTTTCCTTGGGTCTTTGGGAAGCCATGCTCATACCCCTTCTGTTCTTCATTCTGTAACTCTTCCTTTAATTTAATAAGCCACCTTACATGTTTCCAATAAAATCTCTTTTTGCTTAAGTTGCTGTTATGGGTTGAACTGTGCCCCCCTCTTCCTCCAAAAGAGATGTTGAAGCCTTAAACATCGGTTGCTTGGAGTGTGACCTTATTTGGAAATAGGGTGTATATATAGAGCTAACCAAATTAAAATGAGATCATTGGAGTGGCCTTCATCTAAAATGACTGATAATCCTCACAAAAAAAGAATTTTGGACACAAAGACAGACATGCACAAAGAGAAGATGGCCACGTGAGGACAGAGGATTGGAATGATGCATCTACAGGCCAAGGAATAGCAAAGATTGTGAGAAAATAACCTGATGCTAGGAAGGGTTCAAGATTATTCCCAAGGTCTTGGCTCCCTGAGGCAGCTTCCCTAAATAAGCCTCCTAATATCTTCCCTTTAATCTTTGCTTTATAACAAAGAATCTAGAAAAACAAACATCTTTTTGAAGGTTGTATTCAAGAATCCAAATTAAGTAGATGAAAATAAATATTACTGAATAAAATGGTTAATAAAAATTGAATTCTAGTGCTGACTAATGACGCTTCCTTACAATTCTAACTTTTATCTATAAGTCAAAGACCAGCTAAAAAATCTGATCATTTTATTTTTATCTATTATGGTTGCTTTTTGGTTCCTATATTTGAATTCTATTTCCCTTTCTAGTAAGAAAAATAATTTCCTACCATGAATTGCCCCCCAAAATACATGCATAACACCAATAGACAGAAGTAGCTAGTTAAAACTTGTATGCATATATATCCATAACTCAAGGACACAGACAATAGGGTGGTGAAGGCCTGGAGCGGGGATGAAGATGGACTAGAAGGGGTTAATGGGGAAAAAAGGACATACTAGTATGTAATACTTTCAACAATAAAGATTTAAAAAAAAATTTGCAAATTCTCTGGAGGTCAGGCAAAGTTAAGAATAAAAGGTACTATCCATTTCCTTAATAAGGACTCTACTTGTATTCTCTCACAACTACTTTTGAGATAGGAACTATAAATGTACCCATTTCTCAGGTGAGCAAGAAAAACAAAGAGTCAGGATTTGTCTAACGTCCCACGGATGGTAAAAACCACATCTAGCCCAGGCAGCATGACTCAAGGGCTAGGATATTATCCTCATTACTATTACTTTACTCTACTATAATACCTCCTCTAAATCCCCAACAAATTATTCTATATCTTCACAAGCCACTTTAGGAACAATATATAAACATACAAAACATGAAAAAAATATGAAAACATACAAACACTAAATCTCAGAATACTGAAATCCCCAGTCATGCCCACAATGAAGTGTATGTAAGCCTAAATGCAGCAAGTACTGGGAATTCACCATTCTACCACAGTACATTGGGAATTTAAGGCGATCCTAAAATTAAGACTGTTTCCTCTAAGTCAAGACTGACTTTCTGTAAGTTCCAGCTTTACCCTCTGGCTAAGGTTAAAACTTCTATCTCTATTCTTTTTCTGTATAGTGGTTCTATGGATATCTGTAGAGGGTTTTAATATTTTTCTGAAGCCTCATTTCTATAGGTAGAAACAATCCCAGTTATATGCAGCCAGGGTTGATTTTGTTTGCCAAGGAATATTGGGCCATGTCTCGAGACATTTACTGTTGTCACATCTGGGAAGGGTGATGGTGCTGGCATCCAGTGGGCAGAGGCCAAGGAGGCTGCTGGTTGCATAGGACAGCCCTCCCCACCCCCCACCCCCACCCCCAACAAAGAATCAACTGGTCTACAATGTCCATAGTGCTGAAGCTGAAAAACTCTGATCAAGAGGAGTTGATTTTCACCAACAGCAGGGGCTCCGTGTCCTCTGCAGGTGCTGTGGTGTGCCATTATCTCATAAGAGTGGATGCCACAAGAAGTCGTAATACTCTGGTGTACCCTATACAAATGGGAGCAGACTAGTACATCCCCTTCCACCTTGCCCACCACAGCTTAATACAGACAGGGGACCCTCCAGGAGTCCAAGATACCTGCACTGCTTCTAAGATCAGGGTGGGAGGTGAGAATGTATTCCCCTAACTGATTTATAATGTCCAGAGATGTTTATCTCATTCACCCCTGTATCCCCAGTGCTAAGTGCAAAGCTAGAGACAGGGTACATGCTTACAAAATGGGTTGAATAAGAATGAGCCCATAATCGCCACCAATTAAAATCAATTACACTGAATGTGGGTCCATGTTTTGGGGATGTGAAAGGTCTTATCTAATAGAGAAATGGGGAGGCTTTCTCTAATAGGTGTCTTTTTATTTTTTAAATATATATTTTATTGATTTTTTACAGAGAGGAAAGGAGAGAGAGAGCGAGCTAGAAATGTCGATGAGAGAGAAACATCGACCAGTTGCCTCTTGCACACCCTTACTGGG